TCGCAGATTTGTCCGTGATGAAACCCTCCAGGCCGGGGTTGTAAATATTTGCCTGTGCTGTATTTGTGTGAGCGTTTCATTAACGATCAGAGCTGACAAACATGCACACTCATTGACCCCAGTCATCGGGTGGGGGGGAGCCTGAGACAGTAGTGTGTGTCTAGTGTGCATTTGTTGAAAACGTAAATGCTTCACATGAGGGATTGATGTCACCGCGAGAGAAGACGACTGCAGTGGAAATTAATCTGGTGTGGGTAAACGTTTTCCATAGCCAGCACTCCTGGCTCTTATTTAAGGCCCCTGTCAGAACTTGAAAGTGTAATTGATACAAATTCTAAAGTTTAATTTTTAAAAGTTTATAGTCGCTGAGGGTTCAGAGCTTTGGATTGTTTAAAATTGCACTCACTCCCTTTTCATTAAAGCAGGATAGTCTGAAAACATTTGTTCATCAAAGGCTCGCTACAAATTAGACTTTGAGAAACTCAATTTGAAAGTAAAGAAAAAGCGTTTCTTTTCCTCGGGGGGGAAAGCCAAAGTCTCGGCTGTGTTTGCATTTAAATATAAACAGGGCACAATATCTGGCTTTAAAGATGCATGCAGTCACCATGTGCACACACACACACACACACACATCACTTGCCAAGTGCACACACTCACCCCCAACTATAGAATCTGCCAGTTCCCTTTAAACTGCTACAGACAGCAGCAATGAAAAAAAAAGCTTGTTATCATGTTGCACTCGTGCTCTTAGATTGTTCTGTCTATGCACCACCAATAGTTGAAATTTGTAATAAGGCCTCTGGAGACTCTAAAGAACAGGCTGGCATGTAGCACATTTGTGTCTGTGAAAGGAGGGTGGGGGGGTGAGGCAGAGAGGGACGGCCAGAGAGGGACGGCCAGAGCAGTGGAATAACATCTTAATCTATCAGAGAAGTGAACAGTGGCCGGTCTGTTTTTGGAGCAGGCTGTGTTGGATGACTCCCAAGCAGAGGGGCAAGGAGCAGAGCCATCTTCAGCTGGTAGTCACTAACATGGCAGTAATAAGGCAGTGATGACCCTCCCAGGACTGCCGGCCAACACTCCCTCTGCCTCCCTTCAGCACAAACACACACACACAGACACACACACATAAACACACAAACACCAAAACAGGCAGAACACTTGAGCAGATAGACTGTGGAGCATCAAATGTCTTCCTTTCGCTCTGTTTCATACATTTACTTTACTTCCTGCTGACTGATCTATATTCACTTTGAATTCATGAAAACAGCCGATCCAGTCTTAAAGAAGTTTGTGAAATCGCCACAGATCCCGATCTAGAGAGTCCTAAACCTGGACACATATTTCCCCTTTTCTTCTGCCAGTCAGCAGAGTACATTTACATTGGAGAATATTTTGAGCCAATAGGAAGGCAAGTTGAAAAACTTTGATTTTTTGAGATACACTGTATTGTACAGACGCCCTATGTGAGCATGCATATATATACATTTGATTTTACCCAGTTTCTCACTGATAAAAGTTTTTATCTCGTTATCGCAGGATTAAAACGCAGGTTTTCCTGGACAGCAGCTTCATCCCAGCAGTTTTCTTTGAGATCTCGAGAAATAAACCAGTTAACACGTGAAAACCAGCGCTGTTATATCAAGATAATACGATTTATAACTCAAGTTCTCAAACCAAACTTACTCATTATCAGTGTGTGTGTGTGTGTGTGTGTGTGTGTGTGTGTGTGTGTGTGTGTGTCCACTTGCAGCTAAACACAACTGATCTGAATCTTTTTTTATGTTTAAGCAGAAAAGTTGTTAAGATTTATAAAAAGATTATAACTTTTTTTTTTCCTTGGTAGAAGACAACAACATTTCACCAAATAACCCCGTCGGGCACATAAATAGTGCTAACACCTCACAGTGCAGCTGTCCTGAGTGAGAGGAGAAAAGGCGTTTCTGCACATGGCTCAAAATAAACTTAGCATTAAAATATATGAGTTTGAAGTTTGCACAAGCTGACTCAGAGAAAGGTGATAATTGTGTCTCTGAATGTCTTTTTTTAATGTATTATATCTCCTTAAATGTGTCTCATACTGAAGATCAGCTCAGTGGAACGAGCAGGCTGGAAAAGTTGCATCAAGACAATCAGCTGTGTGTCTGTGATTTAACAAGAAACACAGATGTCAGGACTGAGGCCTTTATGCAAACTGAGATGTTCAAAAACACTTTGAAACATGTGATACCTACATGTGTTTGAAATAGGATACAATATCCATATTGGAATGATCGATTGAGCTGAAAAGTTTGGAAGCTTTAATAAACAACAGCTTCAGATCTTCTGTCGTATTTTAACCCAAAGAGAAAGAGTGAGCACTGACTGACTGACTATCCTGAGTTCCTGATGTTTGCAGAGTTTTAGTACAGAAACAATTCCAATGTGTTTGTGAATAGTCAGTGTGCAGGAGTTTACTTAAAATGTATGTTCATTAAAATCAACAAATGACACAATATTAATGTGCAGGACGTTTTATTATTCTTTTTCTTTTTATGCTTTTCTTTTTTAAGAGACAGTGGAGTCAGAAATCAAAGAGAGAGAGAGAGAGAGAGAGAGAGAGAGAGGAATGACATGGAGCCACGGGTCGGAGTTAAACCTGGGCCGTCTGCTTGGAGGACGCACATGGGGTTCGCACACTAACCTCTAGGCTACCGGCGCCCCAGGACTTTTATTTTTGCTATTCAATGTGTGAAATTGTGTTATTGAGCACCCTAGTGCTAACAGTACTCAGGACAAGAGAAATGAGTGTAGACTCTTGCACCTGTTGCAGGTGCCTGCACAGTGCATGTTAGACATGTTCTGTTTGTCCATTGCTTGCACACAGAACTCTAAAACTAATAGAAATATATATTTAATGCTTATTGTAATGAAATATCATGTAGCACCTTGTTGGATGTTGTGTTTTAGAGTAAATAAAGTTTTATTAACATGCAAAATGGCACACTTGTCTCCTGACACAAATAAATAGCATTAATTTGAATCGACCTGACAGTGAAAATTATTTATATCCCCTCGGTTGATATTAAGGCGGTCCCTTATCAGTGGCTGTTAGAATGCATAGGAACCACTAATATCATAAATATCAAGTATCTCATAAAAAAAATCATTTATTTTTGTCTTTTTTATCACTGTAAAAGCTTCTGAGTGTGTGTGCAGTTTAAATGAGCTTCATACTACTTTCTCTGCATGCAATTAATTTAAGCCAGCCAGATCCATGTCAGCCTGTTCAATAGAGCCTGCAGACAGTTTTGTGTGGCTGCTTACACATATATGGTGGTGTGCATGTGGGAGTACAACCCTCACTGCTCTGTATTGTTAGAAATTTGCATGCTTAAGTCCATATGGCAACTTCCTTTTGACCTGCTTTCCCATCCCTGATGCATTGTCAGGGCTGTCAGCCGATAAAGAATCACTTGACTTGCTATAACAAGTTCAAAAGGAGCTGATGACGCGCCGTTGATCCATGGAGAATCGGCAAAAGGAACACCCCTACTGCTTGCTGCTATCATTCCCATAGAGATAGCCATATTATTGATGGGGAAGGGTTATGCTAATTTCTTTAGGGGAAGGAAAACTTATTTTTTATTTTGGATAACGCTCAAAAAAGGAGGCACGAAAAGAAAAGGATTTCATACGCATCAAACTGAATTCCATATAACCATTTTAAAGGAGCAGCATGAGAATCTGATTTTCATAGTGCATAATGAGTCCCTCTTAAAGACGGAGATGTGTTTTGTCTGGGAAGGGGAAGAAAAAGCAGATATGCAGGCTATCTGTTATCGTCTCACAGAACACACAAACTCACAGGCTGGCTAATGTGAGCGTCTACATGTATTCAAATTATCTTTAAAAAATATAAGTATAGAGTGAAAAGAGAGGGAAATATTAGCCTAATACAGCTCAAATCTTTAAAAATATCTGATATCAATTAGGTCTAAAAATGTGGAAAAAGGTGGAAAAACATGAGGAATTTTCTTCCTCCAAATTGCATTTTTAAAAATATATGACTGAAAAATCATATTTGTAATGTGCTGTAAGGTGCGGATTATTTTCACCCCCAGATGGAGCGTCATGAGCTCTGTGTCAGACTGACCATGTACATGTGTATCTGCCTCTCTCTCTCTTTCTCTCTGACACATACAGCATGGCACAACCGGCGTGGAGGGGTGAGGGAGGGGTGGAGGGATGGTGTGTGTGTGTGTGTGTGTGTGTGTACGTATGTGTGTGTTGAGAGGGGAGGGTGGGGGGGGGGTGTTATGACCCCGAGATATTCCATTGTGAGCCCATGTCCGGTTCTGAGGACATTTGATAGCATCTCAGTCAGAGGCATTAATGTGTCTCTCGGTTCGACATTTTGAATAATCGGGGCTGTCTGCTGTCATGCTGCCACTAGCTGTCAGCAGCACCGTCTGTCTGTCTGTCTGTCTTATCACACTCCTCTACTCATGCACTTACATTATAGAAAACAAGCTGTCCATGCAAGAGAGCACTTGATACTTTTTTATTATAACCAAACCGTTCCCATAATTACCCCATAATCATTATATAATCCTATAACAAAGCCCCTATTGAAGCCCTGTCTTTTGTCAACGCTGGGACACTGAATCTATAATTGCATTATTCAGTCTCTTCCACCCCCCCTATAGAAGCATAATATATCAAAACCATCCCGCAAGAAAGGTTTTAGTTGCAAGAAACCGTTCGGCCTATGCGGGACGTCTTTTTTTTGGTCGTGCGTGTTTTTTACGCGTCGCAATAAAGTTGTGCCAACTTCAAGTTTACAGCTCCTGTTGGAAATATTCAAGAGGGGGGGAGAAAAAAGTGTTTTCTTCTTTTGCAGAGTGGGCTTTTAAAAAATATATATCTTTAGAGAGGTGTGTAGAAATGCATTCATTCACAAAGTGGAGCAGTCGCATTATTGATATATCACATTCTCAAATAATTATGTTCATTCCCTTTTGCGCTCCCAGGCAGTAAGAACAAATCGTCAATACATTGAGAGAGAGAAGAAGAAAAAAAAAGGCAAATGCGAGTCCCTGAGGAGCGCTTCTGCGTTTGTATGCACGGGGATTGGCAACACAACGGGGCTTATTTACATTAAATACGCCACAAGGTTACAGTGCAGATAGATGAGCGTCATTTTTATCACTCATTACTTCTCTTAAGCGGTGACTGACGCTCAGGACGCACGGGAGGCAACACTCATTTATCCTGGAGTTTTTTTTAAGGCGAAGAGAAGAGGGGGAAAGGCTCGAAACAGTTGAATTTAAAGGTAAGGATTTCTACTTTTTGGGGTAATTTAGTGACCCGGGTGTCTTTACACGGAGGGGTTTGTTATCAAAGCCAATTTCCAACGCACACTGTGGCGGAGCGGCGAGGCTGGCTGTGTGTGAATGGTTCTGTACAGGGGGCAGATTTGAAATAAAAGAGTGTTTGTGGGCAGTTCAAGGTCAGAAACAAACTAAGGTGGTTGGCAATCGGCTTTTTCTCTCGCCTCAGTACCAGGGGAAATGTTACGATGAGGGGATTATTTCTTTAATCGAGGTTCTGTTACACCGCTGGGCTCACCAGCTGCTTTTTTATCCCGGTGAATACCGCTAGACCCGGGCTGTATCCGACCAGTCGGCTCTGCTTTTCTACAATGGAGTGCCTTTTTTTAACGGTACAATGCATTTCACCTACCAGATAGGGGGAGTCCAAGCTGAAAGATGAAGGGAATATGCTGATGCCTGGGCGATCGGCATCAATGCAAACGTTAACCTTTTCGCAGACAAGCGACAGAAAGGGACAGAGGAGCAAGAGGAGACAAGTCAGAAAGCCGTATTTTTTTTTCATTTCCAACTCGGGTGTGCGCGGCGGGGAGCATGGAGGAGTAGACTGTCTTTAACAGGTCCGAAGCGCACTTTTCAACACCCCCCGTCATCCGACAAGAATATGATCCGGTCAAATCATATGGACATGCCTCATTATTCAATGAACACTGCCTCTCGCAACGCAGCCTTTACGCGCAGGAGTTAGCCGGCGCTTCGCCAAATTTAAAAGGTAAGAAGAAGTGTGGAGCTTATAGTAAAAACGAGTGTGGTTTTACTGGAGTGTGCTACTCGCTGGGTAGTGAGGGTTTTTTTGGGGCAGGATTGGGGTTGTGTGTGCGGTTTGCTTCGCTGCGGGGGCCCCCTGATGTCTCCCCAATCATGATTAGAAAATAACAGTGCAATTATCCGTAGCGAGTGCGACTCGTAAAATACACGGTGACAAAATTGCAGCAGGGACTAAGACATGGGTCTGCGATGCTCGACACCTTGCAGCTCAGTGCTTTTTAAAAAAAAAAAAAAAACTATTTCTATTCCAGCAGAAAATAATTTATTACAAGTTTTGTTTACCGTTTCATGTTTGACTTTTGCACCGCGTTATGCGTAAAAACGCGTTCGGGCGCACAGTTTTTGTATTAATGCGCATTAACAGATCAGCTGAAGAAGTATAGGAGAGTGTAAGGAAAAAGTACAGCTTTGTTCACCGTTTGGAGTTCACACGGAAAACTTTTCCACCGAAACCGGCACTTGTGTTTGAAGAGTGCGGGGAGAGCAGACTCGAAGTTTAACCGGCAGCATTTGCCACACCATGTGTCAAAACTTGTGAGATGGAAGAAGAGCCGGTGAGACCTGCCATTTTGTGCAGTGATCGACCTCTCTTATGAATAAGCAGCCCCTGCATTATGCTTTGAAGGAGACGTAACGATGGCATTCAGGCGAGAGGGGGGTAAATGTCATATGTGGAGATATTAGCAGAGCTGAAATATGATATTTCTGGTAAAAGGTGTCATTTTGGATTCGAGCAGAATGTGCGATTTTGTCTTTTATTCTAAAAAAAAGAGGGGGGGAAAAGTTAAGGCGAGTCGGTGAATAAACATCCGTTACTGTGGGAAATAAAAAATGACGGAGCCTGAAAAGCCGATCATATTTTTTTTCCAGGGGATGGACGAGGGTCGGGGTGTGTGACATGTCATTGCACTCGTTGCCTTACGAGTTTCCGCGTTGTCCTCTTTTAATTTACAACAGTGTGTGTTTATATTTAGGGACATCGGAAATATCCAGCAGGTTGAGCGCTACAAGAAAAATCTCTAAACCAGCCGCTGAATTCCCTTACTGAGGCGACAAATCCTCATTTGTGTTTATGTGACGGGGCCGTATTGAATTATCAGTGATATGTGGCAGGGGGGTGGGGGGGGGTTGAGGCTTGCAGTCCTCTGTCTCACCGTGCGTCTTGGGTGGGGAGGACCTTTTTTTTTTTTCTTGGAAGTCGACTTGACCCCTGAGTGATCTGACCTGGGTTTATCCAGTCACTTCCAACAGCTCCCCAGCTGCTGCACAATGCATGTCATCCTTCTTAAAATACTCAACAATGTCCATCACGTTGTTTTCTCTAACATTCCCTCAAGTTGTCTCCAGCCAGAAAAAGAAAATAGAAAAAACAATGTTGCCTCTTCCTCAGATTCATTCTGCAGGAAAAAGGGGGATAAATAGATGATCTGTGCGAGTTGAGATGCTGTTGTTGTTTTTTAATGGTATTGCACACAAGGCAGGATATTATGTCTGAAATAGTGTCTGGGCGTAAACCCTTTCTGTCAGCTCCTTACATTCTCTTTATTAGACCAGAAAGTGTGTCCTCCGCCTGCTCAACAGACCTGTTCGCCCTGTGCTGCACCTCTCAAGCGCTGCTCCAAGTTTGAAATGTTGTCATTCTTTTTGGGGAGAAAATATTTGGAAAGAGAGACACAGTGTTTTAAGAAAAAAAAAAGGCCTTGCTCTGCATAACTGGCCTGTTGCAGGAATTCATGTGTTAGATTTGTTGTCAAGGCCTCTGTGATTTGTTTTAGCAATTCATTTAATATTCATTAGGCCTACTTGTGATTTTTTTTACATTCATCTTGTCAGGCTGCATTTGGATACCAGATACCAGTCGATGTAATGAATTATCCGATTCAGAATCAGTATTGTTGATGATGGAATAGTTATTCTGATAAAATATGCAAGAATTATTTATCTTCACTTTTTTGTCAAATATGATGAGTTTTATTGTCTTTCAATTTTCAGTCGGTGTCAGATTTTTTAACAGCACGAGAACACACGTAGAGCAGCAGAGTGTTTTCTTGTGCAGCAACTTTCTGAGCGGCCGAGCTCAAAATGTGCTCCTCTGAGGCGGTCTGCAGCATCGCCGTCGATCTTGTACGAGTTGCTTTCCCCACCTGTGTCAGCGCTGCTAAAGGAGGGGAGGCTGCAGGCCGTGACTGACTGACTGACTGTGGCGATACACGTTTCTCAGCTGAGAAACGAAGGAGAAAAGGAGTGATGTGGGAGAGACAGAGGGAGAGAGAGAGAGAGAGAGAGAGGGAGCCTGACATGCAAGGGATGGCATCAAATCAGTCCTCCTTTCACCAGGCTGTCAGTCAGTCAGTCAGTCAGCTCACCGTGGAGGAGACCCACTCGACTGAAGCCGCCGCGTTTGTCAGACCGAACACACGGTGAATTATTTGTGCACTGACATGTACACAATCAGATTTTTTGTTTCAAGAAAGCAAAAGGGAAGAAGGAAAAATCACACACTTGTTTAACAAATGGAAAGGCAGCACATGAGCAGACCTCCCTTTTGCAAACAGCAAAGTGGTGTTAAGAAAATACATAATGTGGGCAATCCACGGCCGTGTATGTATGATGAACAGGAAAAACAAGAAATCTAAAAAAATATACTCTACAATAGTCCGTGTTCTATACTGTCTGAAAACGACGTGCAGTCCCCCTCGCGGTGCAGCCTCACTGTGGCGAGTCGATCACCTCCTGGTGTAATTATATGGAGGAGGGCTCCAGCTGTACAGGCTGCGGGGCCAGGGTTCCCAGTCCGCTGGGATTCAGGGCGGTGGTGGGCAGGCCAGATCAGGCCAGCTCTGCTCATCAGCCAGCCATTAATTGATATGTGCAGTCATTGTGAAACCGACCCCCCCCCCCCACCCCCCAACCCCCCTACCACCAATTCTTACCTACTGGGGGAAGACTGGGGATACTGGCTGTGTCATATCTTCATTTCCATTCTGCTGCAAATCTACTCTCTGGTCTCCACACGGGCAACAGGGCAAGGCGGAGGCGGACATGTATTGTGTGTGTGTGTGTGTGTGTGTGTGTACATGTGTGTGTAGCCTGTGAAGGGGGGTGGGGTGGGGGGGTGTTGAAGGGGCTGTAACACACAGGTGTTAGTCCGGGTCGAGGCTTGTAAGCTCCATGACCTTGATCTCTCGGGTTCAAGCCAGGGAGCAGGAAGATGTAGGCGAGCTGGGAGTTGCAGTTGCGGCGTGAGGCTAATGTGACAAGCACTCACACACACACACACACACTCACACACACTCACATACACACACTCACACAAACGAAAGCACTGGATTGAAACACAGAGACTGAATCACAGATGAAATTTCATTGACTTAAAAAAAAAAAAATCATACGCTAGTTTAGACAGAAAATGTAAAAGTAGGAGATTTTTTCTCACGTTTGCTTGAATCTCAATCATCGGAAACATCACATAGGATGTTTTTTTTTCTTCCTCCAATTCCTCCGAGCCCACGGGGGTGCGATGTTCAACTTTTATAAGATCGGCAATTATGATTCCTCCGGCTGTGATGATAAATTGAAGGGGGGCCACATATTGATGATGAATGACCTCCAAGTTTGATGAAGTTAGTGCTGCTGACCTTTTGCACATTATCCCATCGTTTTTTCAGCATCTCATCTTCAGAAATGAATTTGGAGACGGTGGCTGTTATTTCGTCGTCCTTTATGTGACACGCTCGACGCTGTCATGTTCTGATTTTTTTTCTTTTTTCTTTATCCTGCTATTTTTAACATGTTGCTTTTGTTCAAATCAACTGACAGCGGGGGAAAGAGAATCTTCACGTCTGAATCGGTTATTAAAATGTATAAAAAAGCAACGGGAAATATGGAGGAAACCATTAGGCGGGAATGAATATGCTATCAATTAAAATCTAGCCGTATGGATGATCAGCTTCACTCAATCATTGTTTAAAAGCAGAGTTTATGTTCAGTTTCCTGTTGTGTGCGTGCGAGCTGCATTGTGCTGTGTGAATGCCTCTTTTATAGTTGGATTGTATATTTTCCCGGTATGTTCTTCCCTCCTGCGAGCTTGATAAGGGTTGGGGTGGGGGGGTTAAAGGGTTGGAGGAGAGGAGAGGAGGAGGAGGAGGGGGGGGGTAATCACAGACGTCATTTT